CTTTAGAGGTCCCTTCCAACCCAAACTATTCTATGATTCTATGTCTATGATTCAAAGTTACTTTTGAGGGCAGATTCCTCACTCCCGATTGAGTGTGCTGCCTTCCTGACCAATGCTGCTTCTCCAGGTCTACCTATGTCCCATTTTCTGTTTTAATTGGCAGATGATACTTGCATAAACATGCAGAGCTCCTTTCAGTCTCCACCATAAAGTTAAAGAAGTTACTTTTGAGGGCAGATTCCTCACTCCCGATTGAGTGTGCTGCCTTCCTGACCAATGCTGCTTCTCCAGGTCTACCTATGTCCCATTTTCTGTTTTAATTGGCAGATGATACTTGCATAAACATGCAGAGCTCCTTTCAGTCTCCACCATAAAGTTAACATGTAACTTAGGCGAATGGAGAATTTCCTTAGGAGCAGGTAGCTTATGAAGTTGTGAACCTCAGGGTCATGATGCAGTGAGACTGGGACAGTGGAGATGTATTTATGGGTATATCAGCTGCTGAACTGAAACATCACAGAAATAGCAATGGATATAAAAATGTAAATCATTTAGTAGTTCAATATTTTCTGTTTCTTACTGAATTACAAACAATATATATCTTTATGTTTTCCTCCTTGCAGTGTATAAAGAATTCCTTTCAAGACATAAAGGACATTGGCTTCTTACAAGTCAAAGTTTTAAAGGCAGTGGACCTGTTGGCAGCAGATTTTGCAGGTATTTTATTTCTGTTTTCCAGCATATTGATGCTATAATATATTGTGAGTGCCATAATATATTGCGAGTGCTACTTAGATTTTGTGCAGATCAAGGAAAAGTAAATCTCATCATTTCTCCAGTGGTGAAACTTGCCTCAGGGAACTGAGATACTAAATGGTTTTGACTCCAAAAAGTATGTGGGAAGGTCCAGTGGATGGAGATCAGGTTTCCCCTTTAGATCTGAGCGGCGTGAGCAATAACTTAACACTTAGCATGGTGTGCTGTTGTATTTTCCAGCAGGAATATGTAAAATAAGAGTTGATATAAAGTGATGGTGCCTGCAAAGCAGCCTCTCCATCTTTTATTGGGTGCCTTGTGAGTTCATGAATGAGAGTGAAGGATTTTGGGGGCATCTGACACGGTGCTGAGTGCGTGGGTTTGGGTGGTGCTGCAGGCTGTCACCTGAAAAAGAAAGCTTGCTAGCGATGGGGAAGTGAGTGCGATGGTTTCTCTTACAGCTTGTTTGAGGCTTCGATTTGGGATGATCTTTTTGGTGCTCTTACTCCAAGAAAAGGATGGATTTTCCACTGAGCTGTACCTCAAATTGTGCTTGGTCCTGACAGCAATGGACACTAACACCTTTTAAAAATACAACTTTATATTGTTTCTCCAGGGAAGGTCTAGGGAGTTGATACTTATCTGTAGCGACTGCCTGGATATTATTATTTTTATTATCATCTGCTCCAGAATTCTGGAGACCTGAATTCCCCTCTGTATCTTGCAGCAGCTCGTAATTCACAGACACAGCATGGTGTGTTGTATATTTGCTGACATAGTCATTTTTTTTAAGATAACTTGTTGATAAAGGCAGGAAGGATACTAGAGAGAAAACACTCTTGCCCCATTCTCTGGTATTCATGCAGATATTGTAACATATATGAACGTCACTCCTAAAATAAGGACCAAAGGAGAAAGCCCAGCATTAATCATGATACTCTTTCAGTTTCAATTCGCTGCTTAACCCTGCAGTGGAAAAAAAAAAAGGTTACTGCAGACAGCAGTACTTAAAAAACTGAAGAACTTAATTTGAAAACAAACAAAAAACCTGCCAATAACGAACAGTAGTTTGTACAGAAATGCATTTCTAGATTGATAGAATGTATACATCTATGCGGAATTAGGAGTGTAACTGCACCTTACTAACAAATTTAATAAGACGTGTACCACAGCACAGCAGAACCTTTGGCAAACGGCAAGGCTAGGGCTATCTAGAAATATGTGAGGTTTTAAGGTAGACAGTGTCCAGGGAAAGAGCTGAGCCCAGAAGGTTATTTACCCTTTGGAAAACTTCACTGATGCTAATGCAGTTGCAGTTGCATCAGTGATGGATTTGGCCCCCTTTCCCTCAATACTTAAACAGGAGCATGTGGGTGGATAATGAACATTGGAAGAGACACGCAGGTTCTTGATTCTGCAATTCAAAGACTTTTCATACAGAGTATGTGACACACATTCCTTGTGCATAGCACAAAATGAAATTTTGCTTAAGTAAAAGGTTACTCAGTCTGTCATTATATTCAAAATAACCCAGGCTTTGAGCCTGATTCATGAAGCAAATGACAAATTGTTTTTCAATGGCAGTGCTGAAAATATCCTAGTATTATGCTGTAATAGACCCACCAAATTGCAAAAGGATGCAGCCATTTTAGGTAAAAATAGCATAATTTCTGATCGTGAAATGAGAGACATAAAGATTAATTATCTGTTCTGAGCCATTCATAAATGATTAGTGCAGCAATTATGGGCTTCCATAATAGAGCCCTCCTAGAGCACTGCCATATTTCCTGCATTGCCAGGGAGACTGCTCAAATTTATTGTTATTGATAAAAGTAAATTCAAAGTCCAGCTAAAAATCTGATAAGGGGGTAATCGCAGAGACAATCAGAGGTACAAAGATTTCCAGGGGTTAACAGAGGAGCAGTATGAGCAGGTAGCGTTCCCTCCCTTTCCTGTCCCATAGCAGTCATGAGTCTTGGGTGGGTGAACTTCTGCAGACCTGTCGTCTGATGACAAGTGTAATGCCACCTTATACCTTATTCCCATAGCAAAGATTGGATTTTGGTGCGATTGGGATTTCTGTTGTCAGCTGATTGTATGTTGTCATTATAGATCTTAATTGCAAGTTTTTAGCCTACTGTAATAATAGCTATCAGAAAACAGCGTAGTATCTGCTTTGGTTTTGAACAGTGTTTTGAAAATCCGTATTTTACCATTTGACATAAATTTTAGGCTAGTTTCCACACAGCTATATCAAATATGTAGAAGCTCTTCAGCCACAGCTAGCCCAGTTTGAGCCTTCCCTACTTTTATATTCCTAGATAATAGTTTTGTTGACGTGAAAATGACTTTTTCTGCTTTATTGGATGTTTTCTGTGTACGCATGAGAGTTCTTCTCAAACACTGCATTTGCTCACTGACCAAAAAATAGCATTCAGAATACCAAATTATACAGTGGGATTGTTTTTGGCATATACCAGCTCGCATGTCAAGCAGTTTCTCTGAAAGGCTCCATGCATTTTCCACACTTATCAGGGAATGGGCACGTAAGCTGAAAAGGAGAAGACAAATAGATTCCAGTAATACACGTGGTCTTTAAACTTTACCAATATTGACTAGTTAATACCCACTGTTTACATACTGAAAAGATTCCTGTTAAGTTTATAAACTTCTCAGAGTAGGAACCTTAAGAGCTCTGCATTAATAATACCAAAAGTAAGGATTAAGAAAAAGACAGCTTTTGCTTAAATCTTTTTTGTCTATCTAAATCCCTGCATTGCTGACATATTTAGTTGCCTACATAAAAGTTAGGCTGGAGTGTCTGTGGCTGAGTTATACATGAACACTGAAGATGAGATTAAATCAAATCTTGAGCCAGACGTGCTGATAGAGAGTACTGTCTTCATGATGGAAACTGCTGAGCTGTATTAAGTTGTGAAAGCTACAAATTCATGTAATGCGAGTTATCAAAAAAAAAAACCAAACCATTAGCAAATGTCTTCACCATAATAGGTTCCATGTTGACATCCTTCTTTTGAGAGGAGGTTGGGTTTTTTGTTTTTTGGTGGTTTGTTTTGTTTGTTTGCTTTAAGTACGATACCTGCTTCACGCATGGATTCTCCAGTTGATGTTGGGTTTTGTTTAAACTGCGGCACTGTGTAGGGTCTTCATAGCTTCAAGGACCTCATTAGCAAATGTCTTCACCATAATAGGTTCCATGTTGACATCCTTCTTTTGAGAGGAGGTTGGGTTTTTTGTTTTTTGGTGGTTTGTTTTGTTTGTTTGCTTTAAGTACGATACCTGCTTCACGCATGGATTCTCCAGTTGATGTTGGGTTTTGTTTAAACTGCGGCACTGTGTAGGGTCTTCATAGCTTCAAGGACTTGCTCACGTGGAACTGATTGAAGAAATGCTTCTGATACAAACACAGTGCTGTGCTTCTCTTCTCGTGGTGCGGGTACTGTAATCAACTGAAGACCACAAACTCTAAGCAGAGGATAAAATAGAGAGCTGTAACTGCAGCACTGATGCTTACCTGGGTCAGAATGATGGTACTGCTTGTGTACTGTCATCCGAATAATTGTCAACATGAGCAGATTTTCCTTACTTTAAAGACTTAGAGGTGATTCACTGTAAGTCTCAGATTTCGGGTATTAGAGTGAAGCCACCTGAATGAGTTCTAAGGTAAGTGTTAGAATTTCCAGAACTGAGGATGTATCAGAGATATTGTTTGTTTAGCAAATCATTTGAACAGAACGAGGCAATTTGCAGTTGTCTTAATGGATCTTATTTTTATTTGACCGATCACTCCCTCAGCCCTACTGCAAAGAAAGAGTGTGCATGCTAAATACAGTAACTGGTCCACTTCATTTTTTTTTTCTTTTCTTTTTTTTTTAAATCCGATCTTTCCCTAGGTAAAAGCGATCCTTTCTGTGTATTAGAGCTGGGAAACGACAGTCTTCAAACACATACCGTTTACAAGAACCTCAACCCAGAGTGGAACAAAGTCTTCACATTGTAAGTGGATTGCTTTTGAAAACAGGCTAAAGCACCAAAGAGTTAGTAGCTTAACTATAAAAGCTATCGACATTGGGGAAAATACAAAGGTCAAGTTGAAGATATGTAATTTTTTCATAGTCAGAGAGGATGTTGGAGAAATATCAAATATAACTTAATGCCTTTTGCCTTGTTCTTGCATGGAGTTTATTAATAGAAGTCATTAAAAAAAAAAATTACTGTGATATTTATAGGAAGAATCATGACTAGACATAATGGAGTCATAGCTGGATCCAAGAGATAATATAACAGAAAGTAGAGACCAGCTACTCACGCCTGTGTTTTCCGTAGTTTAAAATAAAATGTTTCATCGAACCATGGTAGAATCCTCGTTGAATTTGTAAGTAAGCAGAAAATTAGAGCTCATGTTGTTCCTGATATATCTTCTGAATATAAACTAGTCAAACATAGCTTAGCCCAAATTAGAGGCTTAGATTTTTATGAAAATCAAAGTTTGGGGGTTTTTTTTGTGACTTTATTAATAACAAAAGTGGTAATTTAGGTATTGCTTTTAGGCAGCACTATTTTTTTAATCTTTCTTTATGCTGACAAAGATTTTTGTGAATAACTGAGCAAGATGAATGTCTCCAAGTCTGTAGTAGTCTGTGGCAAGGAAGGCGACCGCGAGGGCTGGCAATGGAGCATTTATGACATTTGCACCTGTCCACTGGAAGAACAGTTTGAGAATGATGGACTTCTTGCAAAAGCAACATTCATAAATACTGGGCTGGATGTGAACACAATAAGAAGTATCTGACCTCTTTGATAGAAGTACCTTGCTGGGTTTCTGTTTAATTCATGGCTGCAGCTGAATGCATGTCTCTTGGAGCCCTTTCTCTTACTTTGTCTGTTCTCAAGAAGTTTCCACTCATCACTGTTTATTCTGAGATTGTGCCAGCAGATGATCCTTGTCGGATGTTCAGCCAACAAAATAAATCTAATAAGAATCCAAAATTATTTTACTTAAAAAGAAAGTTTGTGTCTATACTTCCTGTGGGTCTCAGAAATGTCAGCTATGGACCATCTCTAACTTTCTTATTGCTGTTGCATGGCTAGTCCAAGCACCAAATCTGCAGAGCCAGTCAGGCTCTCGCACCTCTCCCTAGATTTTTGGCTGTTTTTAAAAATTTCAATTAAGCACCTTAAAAGCTATTGATGATTTAGATTTATTTTGGAGCAGAGTGGATTGTTTTGAGTGGATGAATCCATTTCAGCTGGAGCGTTCAATACCACCAGAGAGCTCTTCCCATCATATTCAGATTTTCCGCAACACGCTTATCTGTGTGTGTCACTGTGGGGTTTTAATGTCTTATACCAGTGGCAGCTATATCACATGGAAAATGATAATGGCTTGGAAAGGAATATGGAAGTATGATTGCAGAAGAGGCAAGTTTCAATATATTTTAAAGCCTTAATGTCTTGAAAACAGTGCATTTCATGGCTGTTTGGTTGCCACTAGTGCCTGGGTCACATCACATGCTGCAGCTGCTAGCTGGGGAGACAACGAGGTGGCTTTTGGGTTCAGACTCTGCTCCATGAGGAGCAACTCCACCATGTTGCAGGCAGAGGTCCTGGGAGCAGAACTGCTCTGAAACAACCTTCTTTTGGACAGAACGGCTGCACTCAGTTAAATAATAAACACGCTGTACCATGTATCTCTTTCTTTAGCACATGGAAAAAGGAAAAGAGGAGGTAATGAATGCAACTCAGAAGTCATCTCCAGTTACCCATGCTTTTGAAGGCACACAAATACAACTTTTCTCAAATGAGACTCTGATTTATTAAAGATCTGATAAATACTTACGATTGAGTACCTGCTGCCACACCCGTAGAACATTTACACCGAATGGAACAAAAATATTGTACATTTGGCCTTTAATTAGGGTTGTAAGATTATTTTTTTAAGTAATTGATTTTGTTAGTACCTTAAAAGGGAGGTAATTGTTCAAGTCAAATGAAGTTACATAAGTTTTGTTTCCTGGATTATTTTTTTAGGGTCCTGAAGCCTGGGTTTGAATTCAGCCTTCGACCTCTCCCAGTCACCAGCTTTCTCTGTTGGAGAGCTGAGTTCTGTACTGTTAGCATCAATATCGATGCAAAAAAATGTCACTGTCTGGTAGTTATTTTTTTCACCTAGTTATGGGACTGAAACATGAGGGGGGAAAGCTTGGGGAATACCCATCATTTGATTCATTTTTTGGGGGGAATTTAATTAAATGCTAGTTTTATACTCCAAGGTAATACAACCTTAATTAGTAAAACAGTATTCTCAGATCTTTGTGGAGGAGACTGTGTGTGTATCGAATATTATTTTTTTTATGTGTCTGCGCTTTTCGTTCCAGTCCTATTAAAGATATTCATGATGTTCTGGAAGTGACAGTGTTTGATGAAGATGGAGATAAACCCCCTGATTTTCTTGGAAAAGTTGCCATCCCTTTGCTGTCTGTAAGTTACCTTTGCCACGTATATCATTCAAACATTGATGGTTTTGCTGGGAACGAGTTGCAGTTCTTCTCCCCGTAGCACAAAGCAACACAGATTTAGAGATAAACAGGTTTTGTGATCTATATATGCCTTAGTTGGCACTGTTTATAGTTCTCCTTAGTGTAACGAGCATTGCCAACCCATTTTAGTACAAGTTTGGTTGATTGGAAAGAAAATTGCAGAAGTGTTTGTACTTCATCAGTACTATATGCCATGTAGGTCTGAAAATATAATTGAGTTGTTCTGTATGTTCCCACATCATCTTCTGAAGGTAACATTTTAAGCATGTCTTTGTCTTGCTTTTTTACTCCAAGAAAGTAATTGCACATCACAGTAGGATTGACTAGAGATAGCTGTTGTTATTGGCACAGCTGAATAAAATTACCTAAAAGGGGTGTTTTCTACTCTGTAGTGCTTTTAAAGACTGGTGGCTTTTGTTCTGTAAACAAATATGTGAAGAGTGAATGCTACCATGGGAGTATAAAATCAAAACTGGAAACAAAGCGAGCTCAGGGGAAAGCGGTTGCTCTGGAGATTAAGGAGAGTTGAAGCTTTTTCAGAAATGGCCAAAAAAGGCCAAGCTAAAGAGAGGGGAACGTAAAATGGTCATTAAAAGACATTAATAGAGAAATGGGGGAAAAGCAGCTTTGTGTTTGGTAAGACTGATTTAATTTTGGAACAAGGCTGGTGGTAATAGAGTGAGTAAACCAGATCAAGAGGATGTAAACAGCTCCATGTGTATGTGCAGTATCACAGAAGATTCTGGTAACTTTTGCAGTAATGTTTGGGAAGAACTTTCTATGCTGTGGCTTTTATTAAAACAATTAGTAGATGAGGCTTGAAACATCACGGGACTCTTGTGCTCATATCAGTCAAGTCGTGTAAACCTGTTTAACAGTAAGCATGGGGGTTTCCTTCAGTTTTGAGGCACTGATGTTTTGCAGGAGGTTCCCTGTGCAGAAGAGAGGGTGTGACAGGTATTTATGCAGCGAGTACTGCGTTGAGCCCTGTACAAACATCCATGCTTGCGATATAGAACATGAATCAAGTGATACATGCAGTAGTGAGGTGCTTTTGGTAATGCACAGTGTGATGGTGTGGGTAATAGCACGCTCAAATAGGCAGACGGTGAATCCTGATTGAAATTATAGAGTACAAAATTGCAGTATTGTTTTGAAACATCTCTTTGAAAGCATATTCACCTCTGCAGAAACGCTGGCACACATCTCACGGTTAAGGCAAGAGTTTGTCTTTGAGTTTTAGGGGTGGGCTGCTGCAGGAAAGGCAGTATTGCAATAACGGGTTAGTGGGGCTCTGTCCTAGCAGAGACTGGAGAAGTGGGAGGTTTCTAGAGGGGAAAGCAAAGGTCCCATCTGATCAAAGCGGGCCATGTAAGCCCCACAGAGTCAGCATAGTTTAGGTAAGGGACCAATCAAGATCAGAGAGAGGAACTGCAAACGTTTGATGTTTCCAAATAAATAAGGAACTGCCCAGAAAACTCTTGAACTGTCTTAGAGGGTAATGATCCCAACCTAAGTAATGCTTTCTAGTGGTAAAGAAACAGGCTAATGTGCTCCAGTTTTGTTATTATTTTGTCTAAATAATTGTATTTCTTGTGTATGTGAATTAAAAGCGATGTGGCTTCTGAATCTCTTCACAAAAGTGTGTTTGTTTTCATCCACCGTGTGCTCTTTCCAAGTTATACTGGAGTCCAGAACAGGGGAACCCCTGCAATTTGGGGATAAGAAGAGCCTAAGCTACAGAAGCTGAGGAGTAAATACTGAGCTCTTGGTGCCCCACACACTGTCGTGTGCTTTGCAATCCTCTTCCTTCCGTGGATCGGACTGCAAGTTCTTTTTGAGGCTGGGGATATTTTAGATTGTTTGTCTATTTTAGTGGCTTGAGTTGTCAATATCTCCAGTTTTAGAACAATATTAGAGTCAGTTGGGCATGGAGCATGATTTGATGTTTACAGGGAGGAAAAAAACCTCTTAACATCTTTTATTCCATTTTTGATCACTTTGTTAATTTTTCCCCAAGTCCTCGTATCTCTGATGTTACTGGAAGAGAGTGGCTGGAGCAGCTGCTCTCCTGCAGACCCAGTGCTTGCCAAATGGTCTGCATGATCGGCAGCAGGCTGTGTGGGCTCACAGTGAGAAGATGTTAGATTTGGATTTTCTGTTGATTTTATAGGCATTTGTCAAGTATCCCTTAGGAAGCATGTAACAAGGCAGAGGAGGGGAGTGCATGTGTGTGATAATGTCCAAACTATTCAGCGTAGGATGTTTTGTCCAAGGTTTGAGACAAAAAAAAAAAAAATTGTTTATGCTTTCCCTTGCCAACTGATCATCTTCCGTCCCGTCCAAACTTATCTGCCTCCTATTTCAGTCAAATCTAGTGTAAATATATTCGTCTCTGCTTCTGATTAAAAAACATTTTGCACCTATTAACTTAGTCTGCTCAGACAGAGAACTGCAATTTTCTAAGCTCTTTTTCTTGAAATGGGAATTTTGATGTATGTTGTCATTTTGACTATAAATTTGAATGTATCCTTTGAACCATTTAGATAAATATGCTGAAAGAGAACAATAGTTAAAGACTCAAGGAAGCCTCACAAATCACATAAGCTTAATTTCTCCTAGGTAATCAGGCCTAATATTTGCCTTGCATTAAATTCCCTTTCAAAAATAGAAGTGCCTTTTTTCCTGTTAAAAATGCACAAGTTTGACTTGTGAGCTGTCAGCACGTGAAGTAAGTTTACTTCAGGAATTGTTCATGGATGACTAGATTCTTTTTCTTAATGAAAAATTGCCTTGAATAAAGTATATGTTGGAGGGATATGAAATGTTTGTTTAATTTGACAACGAATTTTGGTTTAAATGTGTTCAGGAGTCTTACACTAGCGTTTTGCAAACATGCGTACACCTTCATCATGGCATTAACGTTAACACACGAATAACCCTACTGCACAAAAATTCAGAGATAGTGAAATTACTTATGCTTTCCATTCATCCTTGTCTGTGATCTAGGCTTATTGCAGGCACCAAATAAGAAATGTAAAAAATTGGGCAGCATGAGAAGAGTTTTAAGGTGTCAGATGATGAATAAAGCTGCAAACTTCATGTTCTTCAGATAGACGTGATGAAGCAATATTGGATGAATACACATTTTGCTTTGTTTCTCATACAGCTCTATTAATAATGCACTGTAGAGACATTGATTTTGGTAGCAGTACACTGAATTTGGGGGACAGAGGGAGAGAAGTTGTTATTTGCTTGCATTTTACCTTTAGTTCTTCCATGTTAATCAACCTACTGTACTTTATTTTTTTTTCGCCTGCCCTTCTTTTTGTCAAACTACTGTCCTCCTCTAAAGCACGTATCTCAAATACAGCTCTGGTCAGCCACATTCACAGAAGCAGAATTTAAACTGGAAAAGACACAGATTAGTGCTATCAAGATATTCAGCAAAATGGATCACTCTTGCCATAGGTGACCTATAGAGTCTGGCTTGCCTAACCTTTGGGCTGAGAGGGAGATTGCTTTCTCAGAGCCTGGGGGACAAAAGAGAAGACCGTTTACACCACTGAACAGAGCAGGCTTTTTTGCTAGAAACTGAAGAAGATCCCAGGGAACAGAGAAGAAGGGCAAAAACTTCATTGCTTCAAGAAAGGAGTTTGATAGGTTTAGAAGTTTTGTAGGTTTTGGTGGACTTGAACTAATTATCAAAGAAGTCCTTTCCATCTCTATGTTCCTTTGTTCCTTAGATCTTAGTAAAAGCAACCATGTTTCTCTTTGTGAGGGTCTGTCTTTTTTGTTTTGCTTCAAGAGTCTCCTATCTCCTAGAAGGCTGCAAGTTACTAGAGACGTGGGAGCGTATAGTGTGCTTCAATGAATTTGAAAGCACAGAGTATCAAATATCCTCGTGTAGAAAGACCTTTGAGTGAAGAGTTGTATCGCAGAATGGAATGTTCTTTATCTGCTGAATTATCAACTCGGCGTAGTCTTCAGCTGCACCCTTTTTTCAGCAAACAGGAAGAGGTCTATGAAATATTTTCAAGTCGGTAGCCAACAATGCAGTGAAAACAAGTAGTGTGACTTTCACAAGCTTAATTGTCTAAACCACGGCCTGGATTCAGAGAGCAGACACCTGACAATTGCAGTTACTTAGCACTTGACCATAAGTGCACAGCCTTTTCCAGGAGAAAGCTTTAGAGTTTGAGAAAAGTGAAAATGCAGCATTTATGCGATAGAGGCAGCTGTGAAGTGTATCGTCTGTTCTGACTTTTATCCCTATCATGAACCAGAAATTTTGGAATGGGGAAAAAAACCCCACATCTCTTCCAGAAAAAATGACACCTTCTTTCTGAAATTAAATTCTCCCCCGACCATGTACTACTCACTGAAATGGTATCAACAGGAATGTTTTTCTCGAGTACCACCTAGGATCCTTGTGCTGCCAGGGTTTTCAGCTCCTCCTCAGGCTGCCTGGAAGCCCTCATGTGGCTGCCTGCTTTCTTTCAGACCATCAGCTCCATATCTGTTTGGTCTTTGGATATCAGTCCTCTGCCAAGAACCTACTTTGGATCCCACAGAAAGTTGTTAAAAGTGAAATGTTTGTGGCAAAGAGTTTTGGGATGAGTGAATGGGTATTTCGTACAAAATCGAATCGAGGTATATTGCAAGACTGGGGAGAAACAAAAACTTCTTTATTCATGTCCAGGTGGATCAAATATGTGGCTTGCTTTCATCTTTTCCTAGGGAAATATGTCCTTTGATAAGGGTAGGTGTGTGTCTATTACAAGACAGCTTTATGTTATTCAGGGCAAATGGTATGACATTTGTGCATCAGCAATGAGCTCAAGCAGGAATATCAGAGGTCCCAAATGCTTTAGATGAATTACCCTTGGAGAGTAGCCATTACCCTTTCCACACGTCACGGATGTTGATGTACAGAGGTTTAACCCAGCGTTCTTCTGTCAGGTCATCAATATATGACATTGAATCTGCATCAAAGCTGGATGCGGAGTGAAGTTTTCTTAAAATCAATGTGAAAAAAAAAAGCCACTAAACCATATTTCTTTGAGACAAGAGCAATGAAAAAACACCCTTTGCTGCGTAAGGGTGCTGTCTTCTCCGTGTTTTGTGTCATATCAATCTCGGCTTTCACTATTTCATTAAAATTCCCAAGCGGTCAGAAGGTTGTTGCTTAATAGATTTAGCATTGGCTGGCTACATCAATACTGTGTTTAGTCACATTTGTTTTACTGGGGACATCTGTGGGAAGAGTTTAGCAAATGTATTCATTCATTTGAAAGGAACCCGGTGCACTTTGGGCCTTGACTGTAAGGTGGTCTCACGTACCTGAACATTTCCTTCAGCTAAAGCACTGCCAGAAGTTGCCTCTGTCTGAAGTGCCTCTGTAGGTCCAAATACTTAATGCACAAAGAATTTTAGCTTTTCTTCCAACTGGCAATTTCCTTTGCATGGTCCTGTATGGAGAAGGGACTGCGATATAGAATATATGAATTATCCTGTGAAAATATTGATACTGATATTTTGTCCTTCTGTGTTGATTCAGAACAGGGAAATGCCCCAAATATCCGCAATTCCCATGGCGCAAAAATCCTGACACTTTCAGAGCTTTTCTGATGGTGACCTTGCAAAGTGAAGCATGCGGGTGGAGTAGGCACTACTGTCCTCATGTTAATCATATGGTTATGGGCCGTCTTGGTCGGTGGTTGAGCCCCGGTATGTCATATGCTATTGAGAAGCTTTCAGAGAATGCAGGCATTAGTATTCAGTGAGGATATAAGGCACCATCAATAAAGGAATAATATTGATTGTCTCTTTTAAGGACCTCACCTGCAGATATTTTCACATTTAATTTGAATATTCCTTTCCTTCCCTTTTCCCATAAGTAGATGAGAACATTCATGGGAAAGATAGCTGTGTCTAAAATAGGTTATCAGGAGTATTCGCTGAGTGAAATCCATGTGAGATCAGGTATGTAGCAAAAGGTGTTTGGGTGATAGAAGAAATCTGATCTTTCTGACATTTAGGTTCATCCTAGGACCCCAGCCCTGGCTGCTCACCTTTTCCACAGCTGGAGAAAGCATTTAAGCAGTATTTGTGAACAGCAGAGACTAGGGAAAAGTAACCAGAGAGGAGAAAGAAATAGATCCAAAATGAAACTAATATGACTGGCTGTCTCTTGAGATTGAGGGAGATGTTGAACAGAGTCTGAGCTCTGGCCCAAGAACAGCATGCAATGAAAATGTAGAGTATTAAAAGCTATTTTGGATGTTTTCTTCTGGGCACAGTTGAGGCATGCCACCGATCTAATCTCCATGCAGTCACGGGTGTTAGAATTACCTTACACCTTTTGCTGAACCGCACTGGCTTAGCATGTTGCCAAAACTGTAAGAGATATTTTTCTTCGACTTTTTTGCAGGGCTTTTTCTGTTTATCCAAATGAAAACACAGTGGAGAAATGCCATTTCGTAGCCAGTTGTTCTTTTCTCTTGTGCTTTTTTTTTTTCCTCTGAAGAAGGTCAAAAGCTAGGATATCTGTATGAATGCTTAGTCTTAGGCTGAGTTATAATTGCATATCTTTTATCAGACAAGTCAAACACTTAGAATTAAAGATGCCAAATGAAGCTGACTGTAAAACTGTATTTGCACTGCATTATTTTTTGCCCTGTTCAATTTTAAAATGGCAGCAACAACAACAATGACACCATTTAAAAAAGTTTGCCAGGCGACAAACAACCCCTATTTCCAAAGACAGGGAGAGGTGGAAGTTATTTGTTGCCGATTTGAAACTTACTGTGCAAACACACCTGCAGACACACCCAAAGTGTTTGATTCAGCTCCAGCTCTTAAAATCAAGAGTCTTTTCCCCAAAGTCAGAAGCATTTTTTGAGTGGAGAATACCATGATACCAGACTCGGATCTTCTCAGTAGTGACAGCATTTCTTTTCCTTTTTCTATCAATTTAGCAGCATGTGACTTTTTTTTTTCCTTGTTGGTTATGCTCTTCAAAGAAGTAAGAAAGAAGTATATCCCAAGGACTATAAAGAGAACGTCCCACTCGTTGTTGCTCCTAGGGTAATAGGATGAAATGTTATGAGAAATATGTGTAACTGAAATACATGGAAATTCAGCCCAGAAATTAGTAACTATGGAGAATCCAGAATTATGATATTGTGATATGTATTGGACACCTACATCTCTGCAGATACACTGAGAACAACATACCTTCTAACCTGTTGCAGGAGAGTCCATGAATCAAAGCTCAGTCTAAACCTGCTGCTGGTGGCATCCCCTTGGACCGAAGGGATAACAACTGCAAACCAAGTCCTTCTGGCCCTGTATCTCTACCATCAGTAAATCCATTTTTCAGTTAATTTGGGAAATTGAACAAAATCTTTAATTTCCAAATAAATTTTGTTTTCATTCAGTAGCTTTTAAAATTATTTCCCGCCCTCACGCAAGGGCGAAAAAACCAAACTGTTGAAATAGCAGAATCCATTATCATGGGCCGACAGTACCGTATGGGGCAGTTGGCCCGAGGACCTTCTGATGCCGGTCCATTTGGCCCTAGAAGAGGGGCTAGCCACTTCAGCAGCTCTTCTGTTTTGGGGCTGCAGGTTATCTGAGCCTGCTGGTCTGCAAAATAGCATTTTGCCTGCCCCTTTCTTGGGAGCTACAGCATCCTTTGCCACCAACTCCAACCCTACATTTACTCTCTTGCAGTGAAAGCAGAGGTGCTTTGTATCAGTTTAGTGCAGTGCCTAGTATTGTTATTATTTATTTTTATTAAATAAATTCCACATATGTCTGCAAAACTCCCAGCATCCTGTTAAGCAAAGCTTTGGATGAGAACATAGTAAAAGCTCTAGTTCCTGGTTGGACACTACAGAGGATGCAAAGTTGGTCCTTCTGAGAGCCCTCTTCCCTTTCAACTATTAGCCAGAAAACCCATCTCCCCTTTAAGGAGCTATTTGGTACAGAAAGGATGGAGCAACATTGGGAAGGGAAGTGACCTTTCCCTTGTGTCATGAAATCACTTGGTTCCTAGTATGCCTTTTTTTTTTTCTCTCCTTACTCATTTCTACCATGGTTTATATGAGTGCCTCTTCTAAATGCCAGAGCAGCAATAGCCATTTTAAATATGGTTGCAATTTCATGCCCCCAAATTTCCTCCGTTATCTTTAATCTTTGATCATTACAGTCCCTGAATGTAGCTTTTTGGTAAGCTGCAGTTTTTTTATGTTACTGCTGTTTAGAATTAACTGGTCTGCTTCCTAAAAAGCCAAATGTTTAATCAATACATATCCTACTGTGTATAATAAATACATTTCTGCCATCACTTTTTGAAGAGAGAATGCTTTTGATTTGAGCCAAATAGTTTACAAAATGGTGAGGGAGGGTTTTTTTGTTGTGTTTTTTTTTTTTTTTTTTTTTTTTTTTTTTTTTTTTTTTTTTTTTTTTTTTTTTTTTTTTTTTTTTTTTTTTTTTTTTTTTTTTTTTTTTTTTTTTTTTTTTTTTTTTTTTTTTTTTTTTTTTTTTTTTTTTTTTTTTTTTTTTTTTTTTTTTTTTTTTTTTTTTTTTTTTTTTTTTTTAATAGAATAGACATTTAATGCGATAGGGCCAACCGGCAGATTAGAGCATAGAAATAGTATTGAAATTCAGAGGTGGGGTGGAGGGAGAAGTCTTTTACACGAATTAGTTAATTTTGAACAGTTGTTACATTAGCATTCGCTCCACTTAAGCTGATTAATTCCTTTGGATTGCATTTGTTTCCTGGGTAATAATTTGACAACCTTGCAATAAACTAAGCGTTAAGAAGTGGGTTCATGTACTGCAGCGTGCAAGAGGTAGGTAAGTTGTTGTTTGTGGCTCTTTTCCTGAAGTTTGGAAGAAAAATCCCATTTTAAACCTGTAATAACGGAGGCTGATTACTTCCCATCAACTCACTGGCTTCCAGGGCAGAATTTTCAGACTGGTTATTGCGTGCGCTGCTCTACTATAAAGTACAAGGTCTGTAAATTAAAGTTGGACCATAAGAGATTTAATCTGCAATTTTATAGGTCTCTAATCCAACGGTCATTTTGTATTTCAGGCTCCAAGTATATTATCAGGGTTTGGGGAGCGGTTTTTTTTGTGCTTGCGATTTATTTATCTATTTGTTTGTAGTGTCTTTAAATTATATTGTGAATTACAGCCGGGAAAATATTGATGCTTTTTCTCCCCCCCAAACTATAGATTAGAAACGGTAAACAAAGTTGTTACACACTGAAGAATAAAGACTTGGAACGTGCTTCAAAAGGAGTAATTTACTTGGAGCTGGATGTCCTATTTAATCCTGTAAGTTGAAATACTTTCTCTTTGCTTATCGCTGGTGTAAGAAACGTGTGAATCTGCAAGGATGAGGGTGGGGAATGGTGCTTTAAAAACCAGGAGCTAAGCAGGAAAAGTCCCGACCTGATTGCCTCTGGCGGTGGAGGAGTGTTTCATGCCTTGGGTGAATAAGTATTGGGACCTCAGAGCTGTGCGATGGCCCCTCCAGGTGGATGGGACAATGCAGGGGCATTTTTGGACTGATGGTGACCACAAGCGCCTTAGGAAGGAGGTGCTATTACCGTATGCCATGGCTTCATTTGCAACAGCCAAAAAAGGGCTTAATGTTTAGATTATTATACATTACTTTTAACACCTACTTCCTCCTCAAAAAGCTTGACCCGTGATGTTCTCTTCCCAGGGTGTTGACAGGAAAATTAATGAGGCATGGACACAGTGCACTTAGTTTTTAGGTGGCTGAGTCAGTCTCAATTGTTTATGCCCTACAGCCTTTTACCAAGTTAAATCCTACTTGTTAAGGCCATCATGGGCTGCACCGCGGCTCTGCTTTTGCTGAAGTGAGTCCAGCCTTGCCCAGTTTAAGTCATCCACATTTTTCCTAGCAGCTCCTCCTAAGTCACGTAGAGGCTGAAAAGAGTGAAAGATCCTGAAATTCTTAATAGGTAGTGGTGATGCAAAACTGCAATAATGCACTTAAAACTACATCACATCTTTTGTAATTTATTTTTTTTTTTCTTCTTAGGTAAAAGCAAGTATTAGAACATTCAAGCCCCGAGAAAAGCGCTTCACTGAGGAGAACCGCAAATTTTCTAAAAAGGTGAAGCTAGTCTCTGGGCTAAGCTCTCGCGTTTGTTTTGGAAAGATTTGAGTTGCTGTAGCACAGTTGTAAGAACAAAAGCTATGTATGCATAAAATGCCAAACACATGTAAATTCTCTGTATTTCTGTATATATTAAAAGGTTTGTTGTGTTAACACGAAATTGCTTTCTGATCTAGTTTGCTTCAGTAGTTCTGCTTCATGATTCAGAGTGGGGAAAATAATAGCTGTGGATGTTGCACAGTTTGCAGCACCTAAAGAACAAGAACCTTACTCCCTCCTTAGGGAAGGAAGAAGACAGATCTAAATTAGTTATTTAAAAAGTCTATAGGATTTTAGAACAATGGACATTATCCTTTTTTTAAATAAAGGTGCCCTATAATAAGGCTAAAATTCCCTATTTATTTCTACGGACTAATCCAAAACATGTAGAGAAAGAGGTTCAGTGTTTTGATTATATTCTCTCTGGCCCTTTTCCTGAGACATTGCTATATGTTAAGAATTGAAGGGGAATGAAGGTATGTTTGTGTTACTATTTTATTTAGTTTTGGCATCAAGATGTGCTTTTTTTTCCTTTTGCTTTTTTTTTTAAGGGATGAGGAAAATCTAGAAGGTTTGGGTGTAATCAGAAAGCAGACGGGAGCTGGAGTGTGCCTCTGAGATAGAGGCTTTATTTGTAATATGTGCCCTGGCATGCATTTGTAACAGGGGAATGAAGGTATGTTTGTGTTACTATTTTATTTAGTTTTGGCATCAAGATGTGCTTTTTTTTCCTTTTGCTTTTTTTTTTAAGGGATGAGGAAAATCTAGAAGGTTTGGGTGTAATCAGAAAGCAGACGGGAGCTGGAGTGTGCCTCTGAGATAGAGGCTTTATTTGTAATATGTGCCCTGGCATGCATTTGTAACTTAAATTATCCCTGTTTCTGAAGCAATAGCAGGATATTAGAGTGTTTGATTAAACTGCTCTTCTCCTCCCCTCCTCCCACTCAATATTTATCAGATCTTATCAAGAAATGTTGATCGTGTGAAAAAAATCACCATGGCAATATGGAATACAATACAATTCCTTCGGAGCTGCTTTCTCTGGGAGTCCACGGTAAAGAGCGTGATAGCATTTGTGGTAAGTGGATTTCTTCTTTTATTGCATGAGGCTAAGTGATACAAGATCTCGAGTGTTACTGTTCGTTCCTCTCCACCGGCGTAAAGCCCTTTATCGTTTGCTGTTACTGGTATTTTGTAGCTACGTGGCTGCAGGGCTGCGGGTTTCAAGGCAGCTTGGGCCACGTTGGGCCTGATGGGCGTGGAAATTAGACCTTCAGGAACAGCCTTTCTTTGCTCGGTGCAGAAGTGTTCACCAGCCTGCCCCGAGCACTGAGGATGCCCATGTCCATGGTGGGTGATGCCACCCTGTAAAGGCTGTGACCGTGTGATGACTCTGGATTAATTTTTTTTTTTTTTTTTAAAAAAAAACATGGCAACTGGGTAGGAAAGGAGGAAGGTGGTGGTCAAGAGGGTGATGCAGGGAGATGCCTCTGATTTGGGTGAGGCAGTGAGCTGATGGGTCTTGTTCCTTCCATCTTCCATTGCAATGAGGCGGCACTTCGCTGCAGGTTATCAGTGCCTGCTATGCCCGTGTCCCTATGGCACGTAAGCAGCTCTGCTGACATCGCCTGTTGCAAATCTGTTCTCTTGGTGGTAATAATACATTGCTTTAAAAAAAAAAAAAAAAAAGAGAAAAGGGAAAGGCTGATCAGTGAGTTCCGCTGTGCTCTGCAAACAAAAAGCCAAGTTCTCTACCTGCCTATCCCACTTTTCAGCTCTCTCCTTTTTCCTCTTGGTGGTAAACACCCCATTTGCAGTTTTCTCATAATCCACTCAAGCACAAAAAGGTTTTGCCTGCTTTTCATTCTGTGGTGTGACATTTTCTTCATGCTTGAAATGTTTGGCATGCCATTAAAGGTTGCAAAATTGTTTTGTGGTGGTCCAGCATGCAGAAAGAAAGTTTTTGAGTTGAGTGTTTATTAAGCAAAACGACAGCCACATCTCCAAGCCTTCTCCCCCTTTTACTGTCTGTGAATTATAAGTCTCTTAAAGGTTGTTGAGGAAAACACTTCACAGTGTATTTGCTACAGAGGAGTAAAGTGGACCATCCCTGATTGAAAGAAGCTCAGAGCAAAGACAGAGGAGCTGTCTTTCACCCTGCAGGTTAGAGGGCTGACTGGCACGTAAGAGTAGATAGAATGAGAGGGTCTTTTCTTGTTGTTTTTTTTTTTTTCTTCCTGTTGCTTAAAGCTTATTTCGATCATATCTGAAGTTAATGGTTCAAGAGCTGGTGGAGAGCAGAGCAGCCGGTACCTTGCTGAAGCAGGTATGGCTGGGCAAGGGAGCTCTACGGTTGTGCACAAGGGAATCGGATGGTCATGCACGCTGCAGCTGGAAAGGGAGGGACATATGTAAAATCCCAGTGCCGATGTCCTACCATCACCGTACAGCAAGAATCTAAGCACGTATTTAAGAGACTTGCCCTTAAGAGATTTTACACCAAAATACTTGTGAAGTTACAGCTGTGAAGTTCAGTTTTCTGGAATTAAGAAAAGTTTGGAAGTGGTAGAGAGGCAGAAAAATAAGAAGGTGGGAACGTGGGTCTACAGAAGAAGGAATTGATTCCTAGTGAAAAGGAGGATGAGCAGGTTACAAGTTACAGACTATTAACATCTTTACTGGATACCATAATACTCCTAGTTTTCTGAAAGAAAGTGGATAATGGGAAAGGAATAAGAATACATGACTCTAAGAGTAATTACTGCAGGTTTCTTCTACAAACCAAAATTTGTCTGATTTTTCCTACGTGGAAATAATTCAGCTCTGGCACTTAAAATGAAGGGCTAATTATGTATCTCTCTCACTATTTCCAGCGTGTGTGTTCATAGCATTGAAAATACGCACACAGCGTGGTAGGTGCAGCATCCCTCCCTGTCCCAATCTGTATGTAAAATTCACTCTTAACAGGTTAAATAAAAGGTGTACCAAATATTACATTTTTAAAAGCATCATTCCCCAGCAAGCAACATCTATATATTTGTAGTACCTGGCTTTGTATCAGCTTAGCTGTACCATATTTGTCTTTACTGACAACCCGCCTGTGGCTGACACTGAACACCAGAGGCGAGGAAGATGCACAAACTTTCTCACCCAGTTTTCAGCTGGGTTCGTGAAACCATGGCTGGTAGCTTAAGTTTTAGCCAGGCACTCAAACCATAAAATGCCGTTCTTTTTTCTTACAGATGTTGTCCCTTGGGCCACTGGCAGTAACCCTTGTGACCGTATTCTACACGTTCCACATATCTTCACTGTGATAATCCCAGAGATTGGGTGGTCCTTAGGACCCCCCTCCCCTGTTGTATTGCCCTTGGTTTCCCTCTACAGGTAGCCCATGCCCCTTCCTCCCAGGGGGAATAAAGGGAGGGAGGAGGAGAAAGACAAGCAGGCAGTATAACCATGTGAACCTTGTTTTCTTAAACAATCAGACAAAAACCACTGCCAGACAGACGAAACATTGGAAGAGGCTGCCCAGGGAGGTGGTTGAGTCACCATCCCTGGAAGTATTTAAAAGACGTGTAGATGAGGCACTTAGGGACATGGTTTAGTGGGCATGGTGGTGTTGGGTCGACAGTTGGACTCGATGATCTTAGAGGTCTTTTCCAACCTTAATGATTCTCTGATTCTCTGATTCTATTTGTGAGATCATCAGAGCATGGCAATAGGTGAGGATGCGGTATCTTACACCTTCCTGTTTTAGTCTTCATTATAGTGCACCTCCCTCCCCATTAGTGCTGACAGCTCACGTGTGTGCCAAGGACATTAGCTGCTACTTCTGGGTGCGCAGGACAAAAAGAGGGACAGATAAAGAGGGAGGAAACAGAGGACAGCACAGGCAGGACACAAGTGAATGAGAAAAATGCTATCACCATGTTTTCTCATTTATAAGATACATCATCCCAAGCTAAATTTCTTTATTAGTTTGTAATGGTGAGAGGAGACAATCCAAGAACGTGTGAGTAGATTAATTTTTTTTATGCTATAAAAATGAAATCACATTTTTCATCAGCATTCTGCGATTTTAATCTGATGACTTTTAACCTGACTTAATTGTATAGGTACAGAGGAGACTGATTGGGCCTGCTCAGGCACAAGTAAAATCAGAAATTTTTCAGGTTTAGAGCTTTGGAAAGAGGGTTGAAAGGGAGGTGAGGTGAAAAGCAAAATTTCACTTTTGGTGTTATTTGCCCTGTGCACAGAGGGTTTGGTGCAAATTGTGTTACACGTTCTAGAAAAAACATCCTGGGTCAGAGGAAAGAGTCACACGTAGGTTTTCTGGATTCTTTATAGTGTACATTTCATCGTCGGTCTGGTGTGAAAAATGGACACACATGTTTGTGCCTGGGAATATCAGGAATATTCCCACGTGTGGAAAATGTTGCCTGTAGAGTTAATAGTGTTCACATACTGGGGGAGATCTTAAAAGACTGTGTGTGTTCTCCTCCATCAATTCAGGATTTGGGGGGATTTGTAGATTTTTAAGATCAAAAAGCTCTTCAGGCATTCTACTCTGCTTTATTTAATTTTGATATAGTTATCTCTGTAGTCAAGCTGAGATGTTGCATTTTGACTGAAACATGCCTCTCAAAAAGGTCTTTGTTTTGAGGATACCCAGAGATGTAGTTTAGTACATCCCTGTATGGTTCTGCTAGCGTGCCTGACACTATCCATATCCTACCCCGGACAACTTGCTCCCAGTTTCCAGGGTGAATGTTGTGGTTTTTAGCCTGGTCTTCATCACTCCTTCCTCTTGTCACACCCTTCTCCATTGAGACATCACTTCCACGCTGCGTTACTGGTGTTCAAAAAGCTGGAGCTGCGTGGCGAAATGTGCCTAGGGGAATGTCTGCTCACAAGTCATGTTGTATATCCGTGTGATTATAAGCTGCTTGTTTTTCCCACTCGTGCATATAAAAACTTGTGTTCTTACCTTTCTGATGCACTTTTAAACTGAATTCCTGGTCCTTCCTTCCACATGCAAACACTCACTGCCTGCTCTGCTCCCTCTTTGTCCCTGGTCATGGAAGTTAAGTCCATAATAACTGAATCATTCTTACTGTACAATATGTATTTTAAAAATATTTTAAAAGTTAATTTTAGTCACAGAATGATTTTCATGAGGAATTATGCATCATTGCACATTGTGCTTGTGATTTTATACAACATAATTACACCTTCTATTGACAGTTTTCTCTGCATTAACGGTAATTATGTCATTTAATGAAATTACAGTAATTGCATTAAAAAAACCCTATAATCTGGTGCAAATTAAAAGGATATATTGACTGCAATTTTTACTATCATGTATTTTTTTTTTAAAGTTTGCATGATAGTTGCAAGAGACATTGACAGGATCAGGCAAACGATGGGAAACCAGCCACCATAGCACCTCCGGTGTGACTGGCAGTGCTCGCTGCTGATTTGCTTCAGGGTCCCTGCACACTCACCCATGCCAGCATACTTCATTTTTACTGGCAGCATGTCCTGCTATATCAGGTTTAGGCTTCTTGCTAATCAAGGCTGCTGCCAGGGTGGGTACAGGTGGGAGCTATTTTTCAGGCTCAGCCCTAGCTGGCAGCCTGGGTCAGCCGGAGAAGGAATGCAGCACGCACAGGCAGTATTTATTTATTTTGCAGTGACATTGTAGCGTGTCTGATAATTATTTTATGATGGGTTAGTACTGGGAGGAAAGGAAGGAATATGTGGTGGTGCAACGTAACATCTTAGAAATGTGGAGTTTCTGGTCAAACTGACTGCAGTTATTTAATGGTGGGCAGCTGGGAAAATGACAGGCGTGGGATCATTTTGGAGCAGTTTCGGCTTCCCAAAAAGCCAGCTGATGCAAGAGTGGGGAAGCCCTGGGATTTCTGGATGCCCAGCAGAGCTGGGTGGGGGTTGTGGATGCAGCAGGAAACCCAAACTTAAGCTTTTGAGCTCCTTGCTGCAGAGGTGAGATTTTGGCACTCTTCTCCATTAAGATCTCCAAAGCTTTTTAAATCCAGAGAGAGCTGGAGGATGCCC